TTCTTGCCTTTTTCCTAATCTTAGAAAAAGTTTTCAATACTGAATATATTACCTATAGGTTTTTCAAGGAAATGAGAAGTTCCCTCCTATTCCTAGTTTGCTAAGGGTTTTATTTTCTCATGAATGGGTATGTTCTTTGTACAATTAACCAATGAAATCGTCTGGGTCTTTGTGGGAAGATTCTTAGTAACAAATTCTATTCCCTTAATTATGCAGATTTTCTATATCATCTTAGGCCATCATGCTAAGTTGTATTTTTCAAGGAATTTGTCAATTTTGTATAAGTTGTCAAGTTCACTGGAATAAAGGCTTTAATGATATTACCTCTTTTAATATCTACAGTATCTTTAGTGATATTCTGCTCTTTCATTTTGGATGCTGCTAGTTTGTGTTCTCTTCCATCTAAGTACAATTTATCCTTTCATTCTGGATATTGATCATTTGCTTTCTCTCCTGTTAGACTGTTATATAGACCTTTCCCTTTAAAAAAAAAAAAAAAACTTTCATGTTTGTTCCTTATAGACAGTGAAGAGTTAGGACTCGCTTTAAAAAAAAAAATATAGCCTTATTCTCTATCTTTTTCATTGATGTCTTTACTGCACTTAAACTTGATGTAATTATCTGGTTGGGTCTACCATTTAGATAGTTGTTTTCTATTTGTCCCACCTGCTTTTGTTCCTTTGTTCTATTTTACCTGTCTTCTTTTGAATTAACAGTATTTTAAAATATATCATTTCAATCCCTGTATCTGTTTTTTAGGTATGCCTCTTTGTATTTTCAGAGGTTATTCTGGGGATTACAATATGCCTTTTTAACATATCACAGTCTATCTAGAGTTATAATAATACAGTACTACTTCATGTAAAAGAGAAGAATCTTGCAACATTATAGTCAATTCCCTCTGTGCTTTGTGCCACTAGTATCATACACATTATGTCTACATATAACCCCATAATAGTGTTTAATTTTTGCTTTAAACATTCTCGCCTTTTTAAGAAGTTGAAAGCAAAAAATATATAGATCCTCCTTGACTTACAACAGGATTATGTTACAACAAACCCATTGTAAATTGAAACTATTAGTTGAAAATGCATTTCACACATTTAACCTACTGAACATCATAGCTTAAACGTGCTGAGAACTCTTAAATTAACTTATAGTTGGGTAAATCATCTAATCCAAAATCTCTTTTAAAATAAAGTGTTGAATATCTCATGTAATTTATTGAATACCGCACTGAAAGTAAAGAATGGTCGTATGGGTACTTGAAGTAGTTTCTACTGAACGCATATTGCTTTCACACTATTATGAAGTAAAAAAATTCTAAGTTAAACCCACAGGTGAGAGTCACCACGCTCAGCCAAAAAGGCTCTATTATACCTTCCTCTATTAGACTTTACTGACTTTTACAAGCAGGAAAGAATTGCATTTAAATTTCGTATTTTTCTTATATAAAGTACTAATGATTTCACCAATCTTCTTTAAAATGCAGGACACTTTATTTATAAAAGAAATTATATAACTTTGAATATCTACTATAATTCAAAGGATGTTTATTTAATGGTTAACTTTCACTTGGCCTGACACATCATTCCACCCACCTATTTCTTTATAATCAATCCACAAAATAAAAATCATTGTACCTGGCAGTAGCATCAACATGATTACAGCATACAGGCACAATAAAGATCCAGGATACGTTTATATTCATTTTCCCTTATCTTGGAAAATACAGCACATTTTAAAGTTCTCTCAGAAAACTCTCAGACTACAAATACATCAGCAGACTGGCCCCCACTGTTACTGTTACGAATAGTTTTCTACAACAATAATGCTATTCCAACTTTATAGCTTTAGTTCAGTCATAGCTTGGAACAGAATAAAGTTAACTCTGGTAGAGAATATCCTTGGCTGAATTAGCATGATGATGTACACTAATTAGAAAGACTAAGCAAATGGTATTTTTTAAAGGAAGCTTTATAAAGCAAAAGGTAGAAGAAAAAAGGTCTAGAATGGGATTTGATTACTTATAGCAAGAGCTACTAAAAAGGCATGTATCTGTCTACATAGAATGAAATCTTTCCAAAGTAGCAACTTTATCATTCAATTAATACAGACTTATTGAGCAACTATTTTATCAATGAGGACACTGAGTAACAATCTAAGGAGCACACAGCTGGTTAACAGACTCAAGATTCAAATCCTGTTTGTCTTACTCCAAAGTCCATGATTTTTCCACTTCAAATCTAAAAAAAGGGAAGGTTTCAACCTAGATAGAGAAATGACTATGTCGCTAATTTTATAATGTACACAGAAAGAGGAGCAAGATTGGAAGGGGAGATGATTAGCCTAACGAAACCAACAGCAGCATTTATCTAATTCATCTGCTTCCTCCAAAGGATCAAAGAGAAGGCATAGAAAGCTACACTTAGTGAGGACTTAAGATAGGTAATCTCTAAATCCTTTTAAAAAACATTTTAAGTAGTACATACTAAATGAATAAATGTAATACTAATGAATAATGGATACTATGAATAAATGTAAGCTGTGTAAGTTATAAAACATAAGAAAATAAGCACCCATAAACTCACCACATAATTTAAGAACTAGATCATTACCAATATGATTGGGTATACATGCATCTATTTGCTTCCCTCAAAAGTCATCTATTAAAATGTATTTATCATTTCTCTGCCTTTTAACAATAATCTTATCACATACGTATATAACCATAAATAGCTTATTTTGGCTTGTTCTTAAGTTTTATAAGGATAACAAATGTAGTCTCATACAAATTGGTTCTTTAACTCGTTATGTTAAGATTCATCCATCCACTCTATTGTCACTGAACATTTGCTGTTTCTTATTTATTTTAGATTCATTTGGACCATGTATATTTTCGCAACTACTCATTGTAGTATTGAATTTTTTTCTGCTCAAGGTTCTAAGAAATTAGGAGATAGATCACACCCTCCCATAAGTTATATTACACATTTAGTCTTCCAAATACATACCAAACAGTCACCATTTCAACATCACTTAAAAATGAATCCACCTTCATATGTAACTTGCCAAGATAGCTATTTGCACCACTCATTTATGACTTTATCAGTAACCACATTAAAAACAAACAAACAAACAAAAAAAACTTAGTTTACTAACAATGATGGAGATTCTCTACTAACATGTCATTATGTTTTATACATTACTTAACTGTTGATTTGGTCTTAAATCACTTTGCTAAAACTTAGAAAATTAGCAAAGTAATTGCTAGTCTCACATATAATATATATTAGCTATATATGTGAGATGTTAACCTCAACTTTAAGGTTGTATATTTATTATCAGAATATATTTATCTAAAAGCCTAATATAACATCTCCTGTGCATGTTAGGAGGACAGTTGTCAAAAAGGTCCACTTTTAAGCCTGACGCAGTGGCTAACTCCTATAATCCCAACACATTGGGAGGCTGAGGTGGAAGGATCACTTAAGCCTAGGACTTCAAGACCAGGCTGGGCAACATGGAGACACCGTCTTTACAAAATAAAAAAAAGTAGGCATGGTGGTACGTGGGAGCCCGGGAAGTAGAGCCTGCAGTGAGCTGTGATCACAGCACTACACTCCAGTCTGGCCAAGAGAGCTAGACTCTGTTTCAAGAAAAGAAAAAAAAAAGTTCCACTTTTCATAGTTTTTTGGTTCCCCACTCGTATACACTGACACACAGTTCAGGAGGTATTACCACTTGTTCGGCAAATACACGTTTGTTTTCATTGCATTCTTAGGGACTGTGTGTGTGTGTGTTTGTGTGTGACATTATCTTTGCAGCTTTGTTTATCTGAGAACTGGATGATTTTTATAATGCAAGAGTAGGGAGATAAGTCTCTTTGCTTAATTCTGGGGAAAGGAAAACCTCCTCAATAATCCATAACCTTTAAGGGCATCAGTAAAACATGCATTTATTGGTAGCTGTGTTGAACACCATATTAGGTGATGGGTTTATCTGTAAAGATAATAGCAGCTCTTATCCCCTAAAGTCTTTTAGGATTAAACGAAAAAACGCAGATAAATTGATTAACACAGCACCCACATTGTAATTCGTGATTGAATAAATATAAGTTATCATTTCTGTACAGCTTTCCCCTTTCATGTCAATTCCTATTTGATGCAAGTATTTCCCCAGCTGCGTTACTTTGCATTTTACTTAATACTGAAATAAACTAAGGAATAGGTTACACTAGAGGGGGTACCTAAATCAGCCTGAGGATAAGGACAGCCAGGGAAGAATTACAGGTGTTTGATATCCACCCCACTCCCACCTTTAATGACTTTTTTTTTGTTTTAAGTTTCTATAGGGTAGCAACTATTTTATGCATCTCAATATAGGATGGATGAAGGATAGGAAAAATAGATGAATATTATCTAGCACAATGCCTATTCCCACTATGGTCATTCTCAATAATCAGGTTATTGGTCATGGATGGGAATTTAGAGATCATGCAGTACAAACTTATTTGTATAAGTAAGAAAACCGAAGCTCAGGGTCGATAAGTGACTTGCCCAACAGTGAAAGAGTCTTAACTGGAATCCAGGTATCTAGACCCAGTCCACGAGTTCTCCCACGGGTTTATATGAACGCGCCACATTAATGAAGGCAAGGGACTGACAAACTACGAAGGCCTGTTTTTATCTACTCTGTTTCATTCTGTGTGTTAACCTTATTTATGTTATTTCAAGTTAGACATCACCTTAAATACAGCCCACAGCTTACAAAATCTGTCAAAAGCATCGTAGAAACAGAAAGCAAAGGAGGACTGTCTTATGAGTACCGCTGGAGGAGACGTAAAGTTGAGGGTACCAAGCGAGAACTGGCTGTCGACAGAAGAGACAAGTTTATACTCCGAAAAAACGAAAACGAGAAAGGCTGTTGGGCCACATAACATCTACTCTTCTTGCAGAGAGCCCCCCAAAACAGCAATACCCGGGGGAGGAGATACCTACGGCATTCTGAGATTCGGGGAAGCACCACTGCCGCTGAATAAAACAAACCCAACATCTTCTGAAAACAGAAACTCCGCCAAAGGAAACACCAAGGCATGAAAAGCGCGCGCTGGACGTTGCGTCACGCCCACCGCGGCCGGGCGGAAACACCCTCCCCGCGACGAAGGATCCGGGTGTGAGCGAGCAAAGGAGCGGGAGGGGAGTTTAGGCCCAGGAGAGCACCCAGTTTCTGCTGGGTATAACAGAGCACTCTCTGTCACTACTCTGGCCATACCGCGGCTCCTCTATCTGGCCCCGCGATAGAGAAACAACACAGCTGTCTCTGTGCGCTCTGGATCAGCGCTTCCTAGATTTCTAGCCGGATCGTTTGGGGAAGAGCTCTGCATCTTATTTCCGGTGGCGGTGAGGTGCAGTTGCCATGGTGATTAGAGAAAGGCCGAGATCTGTCCGGCTGCGGTGAGGGGAACGCGGAATCGCCGAAGAGAATTGGCTGCGCTTCCTTGTTTGTGAGCTAGAATTAGGTAGCAAACAGCTCACTGTCTCTATCTCTTCGCTCCCTCTGTCCCTCTCTGTGTGGCTGCTTCTCCTTCCCCTGCTTTGTCTGCTTCTCTGTCATAAACATTTGGTCCATGTGTATACCTACAATGTACATGTAAATGCGGTTTTATTTCCAGAGGGGTACAAAAATAGGGAGATGGTGCCCGAGATTACCTGTGAAAGTATTTCACTGTGTAGGGACGGTGACTGGATGGCTTTCTGTTTTCGCTTGGCCCGGTAGAAGCCTTAGGCGCTTGTTAACAGTTTATTTTTCTTGCTGTTGTGTGGCTGGTTATTTATGGAGCCGTTTGCTGCAATGTACTCTCTAGGCCCCTGTCTCAGTCTCGGGCTGGAGTTTTAAATAAAGGAGGTTTCCAAGCCTGCGGGGGGTGCAATTATACGTTTATTTAAGCTTCAGTTTGGTTTCTCGTCACAGAAAGGAGAAGAATAAAATTCTGGCACATTTCTGCCTTGCGATTTCCACGTGAGGGAGTTGCCTTGTTTGGAAAGAATATTTGAGGACGATCCTAAAAAATACTTACACTTTAAAATTGCTTATTGCAAAGTGAAATTCATTCTCCCTTCCTTCTTGAAACAGTTTTCTTTCACACTTGTGAGGAGATGCATGCACGCATATGTGTTTAAAACTCTGATGCTTAATTATAGTAATACCAATTTGCAGTAACCAGACTGTGACACCACATCCCTATGGGGTCCTTCTAAACCTGGTGTAATATGAAAGTGTCAGGCAGGCGGCCTGTGTATTATAAATAAGGTACTTCATCCATGGTAAGCAATTATTATCTTTCTTTCCCAAGTGTAAAAGATCTATATAATTCAAAAAGGTGCAAATGATTTAGGTCTCCTGAGTAGGAATCCAATGAGTCCTGAAGGGGACCCTACCTGTATCATCTTATTATTGAACTTGAAATATTCAATTTAGTTGGCTGGAGTGTATATTAGAAGTCAAAGCTGGTTAGAGTAATGTTGGAAGCTGTTAGACCAATCTGATAACCCATAGTAACCATTGTTCAGTAAACCTATATCCACATTAACAAAGAATAAACTGTTAGTGAAATTTACGGCTTTTTGCCACTTAACTGCTAGCTGGGTGACATCGCTACCCCTCAATTTCCTCATCTGTAAAACGGACAAAAAAATACCTGACCACTGTAATAGGGATAAGACAAGATGTATGACAATTCTTTAAGCTCTTATGTACAGAGGTGCTATATCAACCTCAAACATTGTTATTAATAAAGGAACACAGTAAAACTATGATAATGTTATAAATGACACTTTTGAAATATAGCTATTTGAAATGTGGGGCTGCATTATTGAGATGTTAATGAAATGATCTTGCTGATCCTGCTGTGGAAGATGGGTGCCAACTACCACTCATATCCAAATTCTCATTATTCTGGAGTTTCTCATTATTCTGGAGTTTCTCATTATCTGCAGTTGATTTAGCACTTATTACGTGCCAAGCAGTATTGTATATGCTTCACATGTATTAACTGATTTGGTCCTCTTAAAAACCTGATGAAGAGTCTCATCTGACTTTCTTATTTTGAGAGAATAGATGTGTGCTTTTCCTTTGTTCAGTGATTCTTCTTTTGTATATATCTTTGTTCTTTTGGCTATTATTACATACTTGAACAATTGTATATATACATATGTATATATCTAAAACTAGAAATCAACTGCAAGGGCTTATTCTTGTTTAATGTATAATACGTCCATATACAACTATAATATTCATCTTTTTCTTCCACATATAAAACTCTTAATATCTTGATTTTTTCATAAAAGTTATAAATTTTCATCTTTTTCTTCTATGTATGAAATCTTAATTCTACTCCCTGTATGTGAAAGACATGGTGACCTTTGCATTTTAGTGATTCACATTGACAAACAAGTTTTTAAATTACTTTTCAATAGAATGGCGATCAGTCCACGAAGCGATGCAACTTTCTCCAGTCAGAAATCAACACCTTCAGAGAGTCCTCGAACAAAGAAATTTCCGCTAACTGAAGAGGAAATATTTTATATGAATTGTAGAGCTGCCTACTTAACTGTCTTCAAAAGCAGCTTGGAAAACATTATTTCTAAAGATCAACTTTACTTGGGTAAATTTTTTAAAATTTTAAATCTTTCACCTTTTTGTTGAAAGTTAATAAATAGGTCAGAAAGACTGAAATTAGAATTACCTTGTTGAATCATCCCAATTTCTTAGTGAAGCTTGAGCAATGGAACTATAGTAAGCTATTATGTCATATTATATAGTTACATATTCTAGGAACTACAAATAAAACTTTCAATGTTTATACAAACTAGATGGGTAATTGAAAGCTTCTGTCAATTACTACTTGCTTAAGATATTTTTAATTCTCATTTTGGTGCTTTAAGATTTATCATAATAAAATTAAAACACTTTTGGCCTCTAAGTCACTAGTCTGGATTTGACCCATAAAGTGTAAAGGATATGTAAAAATGGGTGGAATGTCTGAAAAAAGTGAAGTATTGAGAGATAAGTGAACTTTTAAAAGAGAATTGAGTTTGGGTTTTTTTATTTCTTATTTTTATTTTTTGTTTTGTCTTTTATTGCTTCTGTCCTTCATCACATTTAAAAATTCCTCTCATTACAAAGGTCCCCAAAACCACCAAATTTGGTCCTTGCCAGGAGTATCAAATGATTTGGAGGTCTTTAGTCATGAGAGAGTGATAAACAACAGTACTAGATAACACTGACTACTCATGTCAGTTTCATCAAGGCTAATAACTTTATGGGTAGAGAAGCTAAGTTATTTTACCAATTTTAGAATGAATTTTCTTAAACCAAAACCCTGACATATTTTTGCAGCAGTGTCTTGAGTTTGTATCCAATAAGATCTATTTGAGGAAATGTATTTTGAGAAATACAAGAATTGACAAGATTAAAATTTATTTGATGTCCAAATAAAATATATTATTTGTAAAGTAGTTTAAATGCAAATGCACATGACTGACTTTTAAAGTCATGTTTAATTTTGATTTACATTATTTTAAAATTACTAACATGCTCTATTTTGAATTTTAAGTATTTGTGTTTAATTCTTATACATTAAATGTTTAGGCAGACATCCAATAAATTTTTTTTTTTTGAAACGGAATCTTGCTCTGTCTCCCAGGCTGCAGTGCAGTGGCGTAATCTCAACTCACTGCAGCCTCTGCCTTCTGGGTAGCTGAAATTATAGGTGCATGCCACCATGCCTGGCTAATTTTTGTATTTTTAATAGAGACGGGGTTTCACCATGTTGGCCAGGCTGGTCTCGAGCTCCTGGTCTCGGCCTCCCAAAGTGCTGGGATTACAGGCGTGAGCCACCACGCCTGGCCAGTAAATTAAAATTACTTCTAATTTGCCATTTTTTCTAAAATATCTGAGATTTTTTGTTGTTGTTGTTGTTACTGTTTTGAAAGTATACTAAGAGAAGGAATCTGCTAAGTTTAAAAGTTTAACATGCCTTCCACTACTGTGGCATTTAGTTTGTGAATCAATGTGTATGTATTATTAAGGTGTTATCAATCTTATAAAATTATCTGGGAGGATAACAATGCAGTGTTTGTCTCTTCAGTGTTATATACACTTTTGGTTTTAGGGGGGAATACTCCGTTAACGTTGTAATAATTGATTTTAGATGAACTATTTTTTAAAAAGGAGTAACATGAACCAGAGCTGCTTCTTATTGCTATGTCTTTCATCTATATCCTTCTGCCACTTATACATATAACATGTGCATTTCCATTTTAAGGTCAGATAGAGCAGTAGCATTATTATAGCTTTAAGTTCCTTTTTTGTCAATTTATAAATAATACAGGCATTATAGACTCATGTCAGAACTTTAAAAGTAAACCCTGACAAAAGATCCATATCATGGTGTCAAAATTTAAACATCTACAGCTACCTAATATTTTTACTATCATCAAACTTAATAATTAGATCCAACTAATTCTAAACCTAGAGATTAAAGTTAGTAGGAAATAGAGTGTATCAGTTTCTTAGATATGGGTATGTCTGCTTACTGAGTACATGTTTTGGCATAATTAATTTTATTCTGAGAAAGTTGTTCTTTTCTAATTACCAGTACATTTTTTAAAACAGTATTTTCTTTGTTACTAAAGATAGCAGCAAGCATATGCTAAGCTACCACTTGTGAGAAAAAGTTACACACCTTTTTTCTCAAAACGGAACATAAAATATAATTTTCTTTCATGTGGACTTCAAATGCTGGCAGGGATGTGGAGAAAAGGGAACCCTCATACACTGTTGGTAGGAATGTAAATTACTACAACCACTGTGGAGAACAGTTTGGAGGCTTCTCAAAAAACTAAAAATACAGCTACCATAGGATCTAGCAATTCTACTACTTGGTATATACCCAAAAGGAAATCAGTATATTGAAGAGATATCTGCACTCCCATGTTTACTGCAGCACTATTCACAATAGCCCAAATTTGGAAGCAGTGTAAGAGTTCATCAATAGATGAATGGATTAAAAAAAAAAAAAAAGTGGTACATATACACAGTGGAGTACCATTCAGCCATAAAAAAGAATGAGATCCTGTCATTTGCAGCAACATGGATAGAACTGGAGGTCATCATGTTAAGTGAAATAAGCCTGGCATGGAAAGGCAAACATCACATGTTCTTATATATGGGAGCTAAAAATTAAAACAATTGAACTCATGGAGATAGAGAGTAAAATGATGTTTATCAGAGGCTGAGAAGGGTAGTGGGAGTGGGGGGAGAAAATTGAAAATAGAAAAATAGAAAGAATAAGACCTAGTATTAGCTAGCACAACAGAGTGACAGTAGTAAAAAAAAAAATTTAAGTGTACATTTTAAAATGATTAGAGTATAATTGGATTGTTTGAAACAAAGGATTAATGCTTGAGGCAATGGATACCCTATTTACCCTGATGTAATTATTGCATACCTGTATCAAAATATCTTATCTTATATACCTACTATGTACCTCGAAAAATTAAAGATTAAAAAAAAGAACCTTAGACAAAAGGCACTTTAGGCTTAACAATAAGGAAGAAATTTTGCAGAAAATTTTATATAATATTCATTGTCATAAAAATAATTTAGTAGTTGTGTAAGTGCATTCTGTATATGTACCGTGATTCAGTTAACTACTCCTTGATTGTTTGAACATTGTTTCCTTTATTATTAGTAGCAGTAGTATAGCAATATGATGAGCATCTTTGCACACTAAGCCTTTTTAAAATAAAAATATTTTAGAGGCAAAAAAAAATGACAACTTCATTTACATCTACTTGTATTCCCAGCTTTTAAAGGGTAGGAGTTGGCTGGAGTTGGAATCCTAAAACACATATGCCATTTCTTTGATTCTGTGAACAGCTGAATTAAGGAATAGTTCATTTACACACTAGGCAAAATACTTACTTACATGTTGTTGCTAGGGCAGTGTGGTAATCAGGACTTTTGTCGACATCCAAAATAAAACCGTGGAAATAAAAACATTTATATTATCTCCAATGCAACGAATTTCCACAAAGCCTTTATAGGTGTATGGAAGATGGCAGTTACCACAACTACAATTTCTGTTAGCTCTGAAAGTCACTGGCATAATCTAGAGGAGAAGAGAATTTTATTTATGGATTTTTTAATATGTTATTACCCATAAGTTATGGCCATAGATAGCAATTTTACACTCAGATGTAGACTTCCTATTTAGATTATAAAATTTCTTGCTAGGTGTGGTGGCTTATGCCTGTAATCCCAGCACTTTGGCAGGCTGAGACGTGTGGATCACCTGAGGTCGGGAGTTTGAGACCAGCCTGACCAATATGGAGAAACCACGTCTCTACTAAAAATACAAAATTAGCCAGGCGTGGAGGTGCATGCCTGTAATCCCAGCTACTTGGGAGGCTGAGGCAGGAGAATCGCTTGAACCCGGGAGGCGGAGGTTGCAGTGAGCCGAGATTGCGCCATTGTACTCCAACCTGGGCAACAAGAGCAAAACTCCATCTCAAAAAAAATAAATAAATAACAATAAAATAAAATTTCTTTTTTTGAGATGGAGTCTTGCTCTGTCACCCAGGCTGGAGCGCAGTGGCGCAATCTCGGCTCACTGCAATCTCCACCTCCTGGGTTCAAGCGATTCTCCTGCCTCAGCCTCCTGAGTAGCTGGGATTACAGGCACATGCCACCAGGCCCGGCTAATTTTTGTATTTTTAGTAGAGACAGGGTTTCACTGTATTGGCCAGGCTGGTCTCGAACTCCTGACCTCAGGTGATCTAACCACCTCGGCCTCCCAAAGTGTAATTGTAAACCCAAATTACAGGTGTGAGCCACCACGCCCATCCTAGATGATAAAATTTCTTTGGAACTAAAAAGTTTGTATTGATGAACAAAAATCAGCCTATACTAGTGCACAATAATGTTCAATATAACTGACTCACTTATATCTGTATTTGTTACCCTGATCTGGTTTCTATCTCCATGAGGATATTTCTTTAGTGAAATTGTTTTATACTTATTGGTCCTTATTACATTAAATTGTAGAATATCCAAATTATCGTTTTTTGATGCTGATTGGTGATACACAGATCTTGTGAATTCCTATAAAGATAGTTGGAACTATCCAATATAAGATTTTGTAATAGAATTTGACAGTACAATTCAGGACAATTGTATCTTTTAAAATTATGTTAATTCCTTCTGTGGTGCTTAGGAAATTTATCATTGGTTCATTTTAGAAAATGTTATATGTCAGTATGCAGAGATGTATTTGCAAATTACCAAGTTACTTCTATTCAGCTGTTCAAAATATTTGCAATTGCTTTAACTATTGTGTTTTAGTGTGATATGACATACGTAAATATACAAAGCTTTTCTCACATGTACTTCTTTGCTCTCCATAGATAGAAGGATGTGGTTAAAAATGAAGAGTAGTTTGACCATAGCATCTCTATAATAATCTTCTCTTACAGTATATTGACATTCTTGATTTTTAGCAGGGCCATAACTACAAAGGGATACTTTATGTGCATATATTTGACATTTGGAACATGATTAATGTTTTTGAAAGCTTAGTACCTAGCAATGATGAACATTTTAGATACCATGCCTTTTGACACTGATAGTCTTAAATGAATGCTTTTCTCATTTCATTAAGATATTTGTTTTTTAAATTTACACATTGTATGTATTTATGAGGTACAATTTGACATTTCAATACATTTCTATGTTGTATAATGATCAGATCAAGGTAGTTAGTATATCTGTCGCTGCATGCATTTATCTTTTCTTTGTGGTGAGACCATTCAAAAGCCTCTCTTCTAGCTATTTTGTAATATACAGTACCTTAATGCTAACTATAGTCACCATACTGTGCAACAGAATACCAGAACCTATTTCCCACTATCTTGATTGTAACTTTGTACCCATTGACCTACCTTTCCCCATCCTCCCCTACCCCCAGAGTACTTAGGTAGTACTTACAGTTCCCCTTCCCAGTCTCCAGTAACCACTGGTCCGTTCTCTACTTCTATGATATTAACTTTTTTTTTTTTTTAAGATGCCACACAAGTGAGATATGCTGTATTTGTCTTCACTGTCTAGTTTATTTCACTTAACATGTTGTCCTCCATGTTCATCCATCTTGTTGCAAATGACAGGATTTCCTTCTTATTTATGGCTGAAGAGTCATTAAGGTATTTATTTAGCCAGAAAAAGTACTAATTCACACTTTTTGTGTTATCCTTTTGTCCCCCAATCAATCAAGTGGATGGATGGTTGTTTTTAATCTTGTATTTCCTTTAGAAGCTTTTAGAAGAGCTTTTAGAAGCTCTTAAGTAATCAGGTATTGGTAATTATTTAAACCATGTAGGTTGAGAACCAAACTGTCAGAATAAGGAAAATCTATTTAATTCTGGCGTTAATAATTAAATAATCTTTAGGTGGTGGCATACATATTTTTGTTTTTCTTTTCTTTTCTTTTCTTTTTGGAGATGGAGTCTCACTCTGTCACCCAGGCTGAAGTACAGTGGCACAATCTCAGCTCACTGCAACCTCCACCCCCCGAGTTCAAGCGATTCTCCTGCCTTAGCCTCCTGAGTAATTGGGATTACAGGCGCCTGCCACTGTGCCCAGTTAATGTTTTCGTATTGTTAGTAGAGACAGGGTTTCCCCATCTTGGCCAGGCTGGTCTTGAACTCCTGACCTTGTGATCCATCCGCCTCGGCCACCCAAAGTGCTGGGGTTGCAGGCATGAGCCACTGCGCCTGGCAATATTTTTGTTTTTCAGAGTCAGGCCTATCTTGGTATCACTAGATAAATCAACACCAAAGGTAATGTACTGGTATATGTGTAGTGTTTTTTAAATATCATAATACATAGTGATTTGAAGAAAAAAATGCACTTAAGTACGAAATCCAAGTGTTATAATCACAAATAATACTTGTTTTGTTGGGCAGCTCTTCAGCATGCAGGAAGAAATCCATCCCAAAAGACCATTAATAAGTATTGGACTCCTCAAACTGCCAAACTGAATTTTGATGATTTTTGTATAATTTTAAGGAAGGAAAAACCTACTTCAAAAGCAGAACTACTAAAATCATTTAAGCAATTAGATGTAAATGATGATGGCTGTATTTTACACACTGACCTTTATAAATTTCTAACGAAGGTAAGATCAGTAAAACTGTTTTGTAATATGCATATTTTGTGAAAGAGCTTGGAATCTAGCGTTGACTACCAAAGTCTACATTAAAAATAACTATTTCATTGAGAGGTGAAATGAATTACTTACATGTTATTTACAAAGTACTTAGGGATCCTTCTGGATGAAAGGTTCTTTGTAAATAAAAGATAAAGTATAAAATTGAGCGTATGTTACCACCGCCTTGTGCTCCTATTTAATTCGTTCCTGTCCAGAACTCTTTGAAAATCAGTGATAGTTCCATATGTGATAAGTAAAAGGAAAACCAAGTATAAATGGGATTAGGAATCCATTCTCCTTTTTGGTACAATGTTAGAAAATATCATTCCCCTAAATTCAATAGCAGTTATAACTGACTCTATAGTATTCAGGTTTTAGTTACTATTTAGTAAACTGAAATTCAGCACACTTTCACAAAATTTAATAAAATTGTGAAATTTATATAGCCGCCTCATTCTTTCTTTATATATAATACTCATAATTTATAATGAAGCAATACCTTAAAACTATGGAAAAGATTAAAATGTGCTTCCACTATCCCTGTGAATAACAAAGTAGTAATCATGTTGCTTTAAAATAAATCTCGTTTTTTTTTTTGTTTTTCAGAGAGGTGAGAAGATGACTCGAGAAGAAGTAAATGCCATAATAAATTTGACTGATGTAAATGCTGATGGCAAATTTGACTACATCAAGGTACATAAGCTCACATTGATGTAAATGTACATACTGTGTTGGAAAAGTGTTTTTATTTTTCCCCAGCTTTATTAAGGTATAATTGGCAAATAAAAATTGTATATATTTACAGTGTACATGTAATGTTTTAATATATGTATACATTGTGAAGCAATTAAATCAGTTAACATGTCAACTAATTAACATGTCAGAAAATTATTTTTAAAGGGATGCATCTTTTTAATATTGGCAATGACATCCTTAAATATCGTGCATGAAATTTAATTTTTCCAGTCCCACAATTGCAATCTGATGACTACATTAAAAATAATATAACCAAGTTAAAAAACATGTGTGCTCACACACACAGACAGATACACACATAAACATAGAGACTCTACTCAGAAATGTACCTTTTCTGGGGTAGAAGAATCATAAAAATTATTTTGAACAAATGCAAGTCTACACGTCTTATAAAAAAAGTAATAATAAATCACCTCTCCTTGTGTAATATTTTATTTTCACTCAGAGTATGACCTCCTCATTGAATCACGGCTACATTTCACTAGGTCACTTGAGGCTGGTCAATCTGATTCAAAAAAATAAAATGTGTAACCATCAATGGGAAATATATTCCATCTATCAGTCTATTCCTTGCCTACTAATGTGCATTTGCTTTCTCCTCTTCCCCAATGTATGATTGAATAGTTTTACCCACTGGACTTTTTTTTTTTCCTGTAGTTTTGTAAATTATATATGACAGCCAATGAGCAATGTCTCAAGACTACACTAGAAAAACTAGAGGTTGATAGTAAAATGAGGCGTCACCAGTTTGGAAACCACATCGAAGGGTCCCCTGAAAGGGACCCATCACCAGTACCAAAACCATCACCTAAAATCATAGGAAAAACCGATCAGGAAACATTCTCAAACAAAGGTATTTACTTTTAACACTAAGAACTTCTTGATCAGAAATGAAGAGTCATATTCAGATAAATTTTTCCTTCCATTTCAACTTCTCAGTGATAAAACAAATGAGAATCTAACTTTTGTTAGCTATCATTTCTAGACTCTCTTAGCTGTAAAAATCTATTGAAGTAAAATTTTATTATGGAACTTGACTTAGCTATGCTCATTATATTTTATTAAAACTAAAATTTCAGACTGAAAGGTGACATATTCAAATAAGAATTCTTATTAGTAGCCTATAAATTAAGGACCATTAAAGCCTGATAAATATAAAACTTCTGACTTTATTTCAATGGGGAGAACAAAGAGAGTCAAAGTAATACAATAGATCTTTTATACTGCATTGTGTTTGGAAAAAAACTCCTATTGACAACTTTTCATAATGTGAGACCAAATAATCATTACTTGTTGCAGGTGACACCAGGAGTTCTTTACTGTCAGCAACCAGGAAGTTCAAAACATCTGTTTCCTTCACAATTACCATGGGGGCTAATGGTAACCGAAACTCAAAGTTAACGGAGCCAAATTTAATAAAGGTATAGTATTTTAAGTTAACAGAGATGACTTTTTCTGAAAAAAATTTGACATTAAGTTTATTAATAACTATGCAGTGTCTACAGGGAACCAGTAAAGTTTATGAAGTAATTCAAGGTTTTTCTGTGGAATTTCTACCTATAAGCTAGTGTAATACTTTTAAATTAAAAATGATGAATATTATTATAAGCTCTTCAGTTTGAAAATGGTAACACTCAAGTTTTATAACTTGATGAGTAGATTATCAAGTTATATACTTTGGCAGGCAAATTTTTTGTTTTGTTTAACAAATATTTACCATAAGTGTTTCTTATAAATAAATCATTCATTCAATTTCAAGTCCTATGAGAGAATGACAACAAAGTCACTTTGCTAAGTCAATATTTGTAGAGTGTTAATATTGATCTTCTTTCTTTGTTTTCCCTTTCTAGACTCAACCTTTACTAGTTTTCCTTCAACAGAAAATAATAGCTACAGAAATATAAAACATTAACTGGAAACTGCTAGGATACATTAAAAATGTGCACCTAGAGACCTCTGTAAAAGGGGAAAAAATGGTTATGATCACATACTATAACTGCTGTTAGAAAACTGAACTGATTGTTCTCAAGAGCCACATTTTTGTTTCAAATAACAACTCTGTATTTGTTATTGAACTCTAAAGTCCCTTATATCTTTAAATTGCTAGACAGTGACATTTGTTCTATATTAAAATTTTAAAACATTATCTCCAGGGAATTTTGTTCAGACTGTTTAGGAATCTATACACCCTAAGCAATTTGGTGTGCATGTCCAACATGTTCATACACAATATTTAGTGTTCCAACAATATTATTTTCCACCAGTGGAAACTTTTTGTATTTTGCAACTAAATTAATTATTAATACAATTAACTTAGTTACATAATTATGGTTTACGTGATTCAGAAGCACAAATAAATGTAATTTTAGCCACTCTAAAGAGAGATAAATAAATATTAATGTGGATTATGTTAAGTTATAGTAAGACTTTGTCTCTGTGTCATTAGTTGGGCTCATACCAATATAATTTTAAAAATTTAGTTCAATTCAACAAATATTCACTAAGCATGTAATGTGTGCCAGTTATTTTGCTTAGTGTAAAATATGAGCTTGAATTTAAAAATATAAATTTTCATTTGACTATTAAGAGTATACCAAGATAGTGTAGCATAGTATTTATTCATTCATTTATTCAACAAATATTTATTGAATGACTACTCTGTGCCAGTGTTCTAGATGTTGATGAGATTAGCGATCTAGAGTTTTGGATAGAGATCTACCTCGGCTTGAATCTTAGCTTTATCACTTCATAACTGACGTTGGGCGAATTAGTCAGCAGCCCTTCAGAGTTTCAGTTTTCTTATCCATAAATAGGGAATAATTATATTTAGTGTGCTTTGGAAAGATTTAAATCATACGTAAACATATGTAAAGCATTTAGCACAATGCCAAGGACATTAATAAATAATAGTGTTAATGTTAATACTATTTATTTTAAAGAACATTAATAAATATTATAGAACTAAGAAATAACTGGGTGCTTGTATGGGAATTACATGATGAAAGTATAGTTTAAGAAAAGTTCATCTACTGTTGTATTATGTATAGAGACGTCAGAGACACCATCTAAGAGGCTGATAGAGTTTTCCAAATATAAAGTGATGATAACTTGGCCTAGTTAATATAAAGCTAGGATAGTACCTAAATGTAATAAGGATGGGGCAGGTGTAATAGAAAAATGCCAAAATTAGTCTGTAAGTCATAATGATTATTTAACAAAGAGACTACTTAAGTTTCGTATCAAAGTCAAGAACAGGGAATGGTGTGGATGATAATTGGGAGTGAGGTAAAAGGTACTAAGATAATTTAATGATTAAAAGAAAAGGGCATACTGTCAACTTTTTAATTCTGCAAGTTTCATATAAAATATAATGCCTTTTGGAAATAATTGATAGCTGTGTATATCTTACCTTTTAATATCCTGTTTCTGATCTTGTATTGCCCACTGTTGCTTACTATCTGCTATTTCTTAGATGAGCTGAAATTATTATTTTTTAAAGTAAGTGACCCTTTTGTTTCTCAGCAGCATTCAGTTCTTTGTTCACATTTTTCTTTTCTTTTCTTTGTTTATTTATGCATTTTCTTAAGACAGAGTTTCATTTTGTCACCCAGGCTGGAATGCAGGCAGGATCTTGGCTCACTGCAACCTCCGCCTCCCAGGTTCGAGTGATTCTCCTCCCTCAGCCACCCAAGTAACTGGGATTACAGGTGCATGCCACCATGCCTGGCTAATTTTTGTGTTTTTAGTAGAGACAAGGTTTCACCATGTTGGCCAGACTGGTCTCGAGCTCCTGACCTCAAGTGATCTGCTGCCTTGGCCCCCGAAAGTGCTGGGATTACAGATGTGAGCCACCACACCTGGCCACATTTTTCTTTAATTCTTGTTTCCTCTTGGGGGGTTTTCTGGTAAAAACAGAGAACCTGCTAGACAAATTCTAAAAGAACTGTAATACTTGAAGTTTTCTTTTTTTTATTTCACAAATTTCATATATTCCTGAGGTTTTATAACCATTCTGAAAAGTACTTGGTTGTGAATATACAGAATAAATTACTGAAAGGATTGTTAAATTAATTTTCCAGACACTTTACATTTATTTTAAACAAGTTTAGGTATCTCAACTTCATGTGGAACAGAAAAGTATGGAATTGGGACAGAGAAGGAGGGACTTTTCAGAAATTAGAAAATTGTGATAGGTAAGAGTAAGCCATGTTTTAAACCATAAATCCACACAATTGGTAAAGGACTTGAATTACAAAAGGAAAATAAGATCCTTACAGGTACTATACATATATTACTTTCTATTGGCCATACTTAGTTACTATATTACTATTCTTTTTAAAATTCTGAATTCTATCCATTTATTTAGATTCTGTGATGATCAAGGAATGTCAGGAATTTTCCTTTCAGAGAGGAAAAGCTTCACTTTCCTTGCTAAGACCAGTCATGTCTAGAATTAGAGTAAACCCCAAACTATCAGTTGTAAACTCCAGAGATGCAATACTTCCTATATTCAGATTCTTAGAGTGTGCCTACATTTATATTTTATACATGTATATTGTACAACATATGCACACACATCACACACATATGTTGTACAACCTGTATATTATAATGTCAAAACATATAGCATCTATATTATATACCATTTATATGTTATATGTATGTCTATATACGGCAATACAAATATAAACATTTTAAATTCCAAATGGTTCATTATCTGTTCATTTTTGTGAAAGCTCCATACAATAATTTTCTTATAAGTTTCTCACATTTTCAAAATGTTGATCAATTCAACCTGTCAGTTAGATTTCAGGCCACATCAATTTTACCCTTCATAAATTATCTATTTAAGTTTTTATTTTTTAAGTGTGTATAGTTTACAATTATTTAATAACAAAAAATGCAACAACCAGTTACCTTCCTGTCTTATCATACCCGAAAGCAAATAGCCTCCTAATAAGTATGTGACATAGGAAATCTTTATAAAAAACAATAGTGATGATAATGATAGTGATGAGTTCCTCCTCTGACTAAATCTATGGCAGATCTACTGCTTAATAATTCTTTCTCACTGAAAAATTTAATAATACAGAATTTGTATGTTAAATCATTTTCATTCACTACAGTGTTCTAAGAAAAATGTAACTATACTGATATATTTGCTTTGATAACTAGAATTTTTGGCTTTAGTATTTGGTTTTGTACTTTTAAGCGTTTCCTCATACATTATGAATGAAAATAAGTAAAATTTGTATATGACAAATAAACGAAATAATAGTTCAGTTTGCACTTATATGAATGTACTCAAATTGGTAGAATACAGCACCACCTCATGCCCTATACAAGAATTACAAGCTATTATTTTATTTCTGCTTTATAATGTCAAAAAATTATATCATACATGGAATTTCTTACTCTCATTCTAAAATTATTTTCAAAACTCAACCTTCTTTCATTTTTCTCCTAATACTCAAACTGTCAGCTTAATCTATAATCCTTTCAAATTGATTTATTTGAATGAGCCAGCCAATTTGTCAGTAATTTTTTCTTTTAGTTCATAACATTTTAGTCTAGGTCCTAGAGAAAAACTTTTGTATGATTGAAAGTCTATTTGTTTGAAAGACATTTTTTTTCTTTTTTCTTTTTTTTTTTTTTGAGGCAGAGTCTGTTGCCCAGACTGGAGTGCAGTGGCACCATCTCGGCTCACTGCAACCTCCGCCTCCCAGGTTCAAGCGATTCTCCTGCCTCAGCCTCCCAAGTAGCGGGGACTACAGGTGTGCACCACGATGCCTGGCTAATTTTTGTAGTTTTAGTAGAGACAGAGTTTCACCATATTGGCCAACTGATCTCGAACTCTGGCCAACTGGTCTCGAACTCTTGACCTCGTGATCTGCCCACCTTGGCCTCCCAAAGTGCTGGGATTATAGGCATGAACCACCGCACCCAGCCTTGAAATGAAATTTTAAGTTGAATAAGCATTGTATGTTTAATAACTCTGACAGATCTTAAGTTGAATGTTTCCTGTTGAACAGTAGGAGCTATAAGTTCTCCTAGTGGAGTTATTTTGAATTCAAATTGATCTGTTTATTACACTGAAGTTTGGTTGATATAAATAATGTGGTATTTGTCTTTAATAACTGTTGTTCTACCATTTTCCAGCTTTATTAATCCATATTTAATGTTATACTATGTAGTTTGTCTGCCTTTCCAAAGAAACTCACAAATTATCTTCTATTATAGCATTATTTTCTAGACATGGAACTTAGGAAAGACTTAGAATAAAAATGTTTAACTTGTTCCCCTGTTAAATTTTATAAAGCCATGTCCTGTTAATCTGTGGCACTGCCCCAGAGGTAGCATCAGCACATCGAAAAATTCTTCCATCTTTGAGTTTCCTAAGTGGCACAAATGGTGTTTACTA